TTGAATTCCTTGCGTAACCCTTAGTTTCGCAGTGCCATCCAGTCGGTTGAACACACTAGAGGTCATTACATTTGGGGGCCGTTCCGGGAACCTGTGAAGGAGAATTTCCTATCACTTTGGAACGTAGTTGCTCGCTAAACGCGATAAAATTCACTCGTATCAAACCAAGCAACCGGAGAGTCGAGTTCGACGAACGGGAAACGACGGAAACGAACGACGGCAGGGACTAACTAAGCTTGGCTAGCCGAAGGAAAATGACGGATAAGAAGGCAGTCTCCACCAAGAATTCAAAGAAAACAAACTCGGAAATGCGAAAAACTAAGTTAAGGAAGGAAAATCCCGCGAAAAGGAAAATTAACGACGTGGCGGAGAAGAAGGGGACGGAAGTGAAGGGGACAGGTGAAACGCTTAGCAAGGTGGAGTCGACTATGGATTGGAAGAAGGAGTTAGTATCATTCCTTCGACAAATGAGGGACGAAGGACGAGCAATTGCTGAGGAAATGAAGGCCAAGGGCAACGAAGGAACGGGAGAAGGTCAGAGGAATCAAGGCGAATTGGTGGCGGAGCAAATTTTCCGATCAAAAATGGCAGCGACCGAAGACGGGGCCGACCTGAGGACCTTTCTCAGTTTAATGGAGCAAGAGTTTCGAGAGATGAAAATTTCGGAGGACCAATGGGGTTTATTGGTGAGAAAGTACCTAATTGGACGGGCTGTTAAGCAATGGGATTATATATATCGATCCGGTATAGATATGACGAATTGGTCCCTAGTGCGCGAAAGGCTTTGTGAGAGGTTCCGCGTTCTACCACGGGAAAGTATGATATCTAAAATGAAGGAAAATGTATGGAAAGGGGACTATAACGAGTATACGAACGCGTTTACAGATATAGTGATTACAGGAGAAGAGATGCCCGAAGAAGAATTGGCTATATTTTTCTTAGCGGGATTGCCTGAGGACATAGGAGATAGGTTGACGAAGCGAGGGAAGAGGGAATTCCCGACGTGGCACGAAGCAGCAAAGGCGTTAAGAGAGTACGTTGTTCCAATGAATGCGTGGCGAACCAAGAGAAAACGCGCTGTGCGGGAAATGCAGAGTATGGAAGGACTAATGTGTCCGGCAGAAGGCAATGCCAAGGCAGAGGGAGAGAAGAATGCGGGAAAAGCGGAAGGCTCGAATGGTATAACGCGAAGGGTTACACCATCGGTCAGAGTAGCGACAGACGGGGAACGGGACGTTATACGCTGTTACGAGTGCACAGGAAGGGGACACTTGGGAAGGGACTGCCCTCTGCGTAACGGAGTAATAAGAAGAAGAGGAGAGACTTGTTCTAAATGCGGAGGTAAGGATCATTATGCAAGAGACTGTGCGACTGCGAGACGAATAACGGTAGGAGGCCAGAGAGTAAATATGGGAGCGAGTATGGAGACGAGAGAGGGAGTCAATCGGTCAAACGAGAAGGCCTAGGTGCTGAAGGAGATGAGTGTCCTAGGCCAGAACTTAGTGGCAAGGGGATGCAGGTGGTTACAAACCCAAACGCCATAAAGATCTCCAGCCCTATCATACGAAGCGANAAAGCGCAGAGGGAGGCACGTGATGCTGATGAACGGAAACGGAGAACCACCTAACGGGAACGGGATTGGAACGGATGAGAGTGAACGGGGGGAGCTGAGCGAGGAAGCCGGGGCGTTAGTCGGAGAAGAGATGATCCTACCGTCTTGGTTGTGGGAGCAAGATGGGCGAGCGAACCCGCATGGTACGTTGTGCAGAGTCTGTAGCGGTGGAAGAACGGCGGTGCTGCAGTTGGAGATAACAGGGTATCGATGCGAAGGGCTACTGGACACGGGGGCATCAAGGAGTTTTATTCAACCAACGGTTGTAGAAAGGTTGGGGCTAAGAACGAGAGCACTGTCAGAGGAGTATTTCTTCACGGTAGCAAACGGGGAAAATATCAAGATACATAGAGAAGTGCCGCGACTTGCCATAATTTGCGGAGGCGAATGTTTCACGGGAAATTTCCTTGTAGGACAGGTGCCATATGCGGTGATTCTAGGAATCGATTGGCTAGATAGGTACAAGGTTGCGTGGTTTTTCGGATCGGATAAGCTGAGAACGTATGTAAAGGGCAAGGTGTGCGATTTACCTGTGCTACGAAAGGAGGGAGAAAGACCCACGGAAATTACGGGAAAGGGTGATACAGNGTGTGCGATTTACCTGTGCTACGAAAGGAGGGAGAAAGACCCACGGAAATTACGGGAAAGGGTGATACAGTCAAAACCGAGGCGGATCTGGCATATGAGGAGTTGGCGAAGCAGGTAGCGAGAATGACAACGGAGGAGGCTGCAGTATTCGTACGTGCACCGAGCAAGCGTTATAAAGCGAAGCATAGGAAGACGGGAAGGATAAGCATAAGGGAACTTATCGATCAGGCTAGGGAAAACGCTAAGGAATTGAAAGGAGTGATACAAGGATTAAACTGCATTGTTGAATTGCCCGAAACAGAGGTCGACCTAGATCAACGAAGAACAATGATGAAACAAGGACACATAATAGGAGCAATGGTACAACAAAGAGGGAGTACCAGGGAAAGGGCAGCGAAAGGACCAGGGACACCGGAAGCCTTTGAGGACAAGGAAGACTCACCATGGCCTAGGGCAACTCTGGAATTTACGGAATTTGACAAATGGATTGTGGGCGAAGAGGCACAAGCTATACCAGCGCCAGTGGTTCAACTGTTAAGAAAGTATCGGACTTTATTTCCCGACAGTTTACCTGATGGGTTACCTCCCAGAAGACCCTTCGATCACAGAATCCTCCTAATTCCAGGGAAGTTAC